AATTGGACTACAGGTGGAACCAATCACCGTCTGTGAGCAGAAAACCAAAAGTGTCATGCTACAATGCATTCAAAGCCGTAAAGTCCTTAGAGAATGTCTAGAGAACACAAAGAAACACAGAGGCTGTAGCGTGATCTAGGATTGAGATAGCCACAACACACCAGATATTTTTGTTTCCATGCAGGAGTATCTGGACAAATTGTTGTGGTTTTTGGGTGAGATTTAAGGAAAAAATCACCGTGAAAGTGGTTTCAGAGTAAAGGACAATCTTTTTGTTCAGCAAATGCATCCAATGTCATGTTTACAATCACAAATATCATATATTCTTGGGCTTTTGAAGCTTTCTGCGTAGAAAACTCGAATGTGTGGAGGATTTGATTCCATGTGGTACTAATTAGCTTTTGCCAGCAGAAAACAAAAAGAGTCATGATAAAATGCATTCCAAAGCATAAAGTCCGTAGAGAATGTCCAGAAAACACAAACAAACACAGAGACTGTAGCAAGTTCTGGGATTGAGATAGCCACAACACACCAGATATTTTTGTTTACATCCCAGCAAATCCTGAAAAATTGTTGCAGTTTTTAGGGGAAATTTAACCAATAAATAACGGTGAATGTGGTTTAGGAGAAAAGCACAATCTTTCATTTTGGCAAATGCATCCAATGTCATGTTTACAATCACAAATACCATTTATCTCAGGTTTCTGATGCGTTCTGCCTAGAACACCGATTGTGTGGAGGATTTGACTCCAGGTGGAACCAATTAGCGTTTGCCAGCAGAAAACAAAAACTTACATGCTAAAATGCATTCAAAACCATCAAGTCCGTAGAGAATGTCCAGAAAACACAAACAAACATAGAGGCTGTAGCAAGATCTGGGATTTAGATAGCCACAGCACACCAGATAGTTTTGTTTTCATCCAGGAGTATCTGGACAAATTGTTGTGCAATTTGGGGGAAATTTAACCAAAAAACCACCAAGAAAGTGGTTTTGGAGAAAAGCATGATCTTTCTGTTCGCAATTGCATCCAATATCATGTTTACGAACACAAATATCATCTTTTCTTGGGTTTCTGAAGCTTTCTGCCTAGAAAACTCGAATGTGTGTAGGATTTGACACCATGTGGATCCAATTAGTGTTTGACGGCAGAAAACAAAACTTACATGCTAAAATGCATTCAAAACCGTCAAGTCCATAGAGAATGTCCAGAAAACACAAACAAACACAGAGGCTGTAGCAAGATCTGGGATTGAGATAGCCACAACACACCAGATATTTCTGAGTTCATTCCAGCATATCCGGAGAAATTGTTGTGATTTCAGGGGAAATTTAACTAAAAAACAACCGTGAAAGTGGTTTTTCAGAAAAGCACAATCTTTCTGTTCAGCAAATGCATCCAATGTCATGTTTACAAACACAATTATGTTTTCTCTGGTTTCTGAAGCTTTCTGTGTAGAAAACTCGAATGTGTGGAGGATTTGACTCCAGGTGGAACCAATTAGCGTTTGCCGGCAGAAAACAAAACTTACATGTTAAAATGCATTCAAAACCTTAAAGTCCGTAGAGAAAGTCCAGAAAACACATACAAACACAGAGTCTGTAGCAAGATGTAGGATTGAGATAGCCATAACAACCAGATATTTCTGCGTTCATCCCAGCATATCGAGACAAATTGCTGTGGATTTCGGGTGAAATTTCACAAAAAAATCACCGTCAAAGTGGTTATGGCGAAAAGCACGATCTTTCTCTTCGGCAATTGCATCCCATGTCATTTTTAATATGCAAATATCATGTTTAATCGGGTTTCTAAACCCTTCTCCCTAGAAAACGCAAATGTGTGGAGGATTTGACTCCATGTGGAACCAATTAGACTTTGCCGGCAGAAAACAAAAACTTACATACAAAAAATGCATTCAAAACTGTAAAGTACGTAGAAAATGTCCCGAAAACACACAAAACACAGAGGCTGTAGCAAGATCTTGGATTGAGATAGCCACAACACCAGATATTTTTGTTTCCATGCAGGAGTATCTGGACAAATTGTTGTGGTTTTTGGGTGAGATTTAAGGAAAAAATCACCGTGAAAATGGTTTCGGAGAAAAGCACTATCTTTCTGTTCAGCAAATGCATCCAATGTCATATTAACAAACACAAATATCATGTTTTCTCAGGTTTCTGAAGCTTTCTACGTAGAAAACTCGAATGTGTAGAGGATTTGAATCCAGGTGGAACCAATTAGCGTTTGCCAGTAGAAAACAAAAAGTGTCAAGCTAAAATTTATTCAAGACCTAAAAGAACTGTGAGAATGTCCAGAAAACACAAACAAACACAGAGGTTGTAGCATGATCTGGGATTGCGATAGCCACAACACACCAGCTATTTTTTTTTCATCCAGGAGTATCTGGCCAAGTTGTGGTTTTCGGGTGGAATTTAACCAAAAAATCACCGTGAAAGTGGTTTTGGAGAAAAGCACAATTTTTCTGTTCAGTAAATACATCCCATGCCATGTTTACAAACACAAATATCATGTTTTCTTGCTTTCTGAAGCTTTCTACATAAAAAACTCGAATGTGTGGAGGATTTGACTCCATGTGGAACCCATTAGTGTTTGCCGGCAGAAAACAAAAAGTGTCATGCTAAAATGCATTCAAAACCTTAAAGTTCGTAGAGAACGTCCAGAAAACACAAACAAACACAGAGGCTTTAGCAAGATCTGGGATTGAGATTGCCATAACTCACCAGATATTTCTGCGTTCATCCCAGTATATCTGGATAAATTGTTGTGGAATTCGGGTGAAATTTAACCAGAAAATCGACCTGAAAGTGGTTTTGGAGAAAAACACCATCTTTCTGTTCAGCAAATGCATCACATGTCTTGTTCACAAACACAAATATCATGTTTTCTAGGGTTTCTGAAGCTTTCTGCCTAGGACACTCGAATGTGTGAAGGATTTGATTCCAGGTGGAACCAATTACCCTCTGTGAGCCAAAAATAAAAAGTGTCATCCTAAAATGCCTTCAAAACCAATGTCCATAGATAATGTCCAGAAAACACAAAGACAGAGGCTGTAGCAAGATCTGGGATTGAGATAGCCACAACACACCAGATAGTTTTGTTGTCATCCAGGAGTATCTGGACAAATTGTTTGGTTTTGGGAGAAATTTAACCAAAAAACCACCGTCAAAGTGGTTTTGGAGAAAAGCACAATCTTTCTGTTTGGCAACTGCATCCAATGTCATGTTTACAAACACAAATATCATGTTTTCTCAAGTTTCTGAAGCTTTCTGCCTGGTAAACTCGAATGTGTGGAAGATTTGACTCAATGTGGTAGCAATTAGCCTTTGCTGGTAGAATTCAAAAAGTGTCATGCTAAAATTCATTCAAAATCGTAAAGTCTGTAGAGAATGTCCTGTAAACACAAACAAACACAGAGGCTGTAGCAAGATCTGGGATTGAGATAGCCATAACACACCAGATATTACTGCGTTCATCCCAGCATATCCAGACAAATGGTTGTGGTTTTCAGGTGAAATTTAACCAAAAAATCACCACGAAAATTGTTTTGGAGAAAAGCAAAATCTTTCTTTTAGGCAAGTGGATCCAATGTTATGTTTACAAACACAAATATTATGTTATCTGGTTTCTGTAGCTTTCTGCATAGAACACATTTTATGTGTGAAGGATTTGCCTCCAAGTGGAACCAATTACTGTCTGTGAGCAGAAAATAAAAAGTGTCATGCTAAAATGCATTCAAAACCAAAGTCCATTGATAATATCCAGAAAACACAAACAAACATAGAGGCTGTAGTAAGATCTGGGATTGAGATAGCTACAACACACCAGATATTTCTGCTTTCATCCAGGAGTATCTGGATAAATTCTTGTGGAATTCGTGTGAAATTTAACTAAAAAATCACCATCAAAGTGGTTTTGGAGATAAGCACAATCTTTCTGTTCTGCACATGCATCCACTGCCATGTTTACAAACACAAATATCATGTTTTCTGAGGTTTCTGAAGCTTTCTGCCAAAAAAACTCGAATGTGTTGAGGATATGATTCCATGTGGTAACAATTAGCATTTATCAGCAGAAAACAAAAACTTACATGCTAAAATGCATTCAATACTGTAAAGTCCATAGAGAATGTCCAGAAAACACAAACAAACAGAGAGGCTGTAGCACGATCTGGGATTGCGATAGCCACAACACACCAGCTATTTTTGTTTTTATTCAGGAGTATCTGGCCAAGTTGTTGTGGTTTTCAGGTGAAATTTAACCAAAGAATCACCGTCAAAGTGGTTTTGGAGAAAAGCACAATCTTTCTGTTCAGTAAATGCATCCTATGTGATGTTTACAAAAACAAAAATCATGTTTTCTAGGTTTCTGAAGCTTTCTGCCTAAAAAACTCGAATGTGTGGAGGATTTGACTCCATGTGGAACCCATTAGTGTTTGCCGGCAGAAAACAAATGTGTCATGCTAAAATGCATTCAAAACCTTAAAGTTCGTAGAGAACGTCCAGAAAACACAAACAAACACAGAGGCTTTAGCAAGATCTGGGATTGAGATTGCCATAACTCACCAGATATTTCTGCGTTCATCCCAGTATATCTGGATAAATTGTTGTGGAATTCGGGTGAAATTTAACCAGAAAATCGACCTGAAAGTGGTTTTGGAGAAAAACACCATCTTTCTGTTCAGCAAATGCATCACATGTCTTGTTCACAAACACAAATATCATGTTTTCTAGGGTTTCTGAAGCTTTCTGCCCAGAACACTCGAATGTGTGAGGGATTTGATTCCAGGTGGAACCAATTACCCTCTGTGAGCCGAAAATAAAAAGTGTCATGCTAAAATGCATTCAAAACCCAAGTCCATAGATAATGTCCAGAAAACACAAACAGAAAAGCAAGTGATGCAATTTCAGAGGTTGGTGCGTGAGTCTCAGCAGCTTTGTCCATCTGGCCTGTGGCTCACACCTACCGCCCGCTCGGGACTGGTCAGGTGGTGGGCGCCGATCTGGCAGCAGGGGCCACGGAGCCTGCGGTGGCAGAGACGGCCACAGCCGTGCCGGCGGGCACACTGGCCAGCTTGCCAATACCCTGCGTGATCACATCCTCAATCTTCTTCCCGTTCAGCTCACTGATGACCTTGTTCAGCCAGTCGTCATCCGCCTCGATGCCCATGCTGTCCAGGATCTTCTTGATGTCTTTGGCGCTGGGCAAGGAGTTGCCCCCGAGGGCGGTCAGCAGAAACTCAAGTCAAAGAATCTTTTGAAAAAAAAAAAACAACAGTTGTGCTCCATCTGGACCGTCTTATTTAAAACCAAACCTAAATACTCAACAAGTACTACTTGAACACAGTTATGCCTTTAGGAATCCAATGGAGGCAAAGAGGAGGATAATTAAGCTGGAAAAAGAAATTGCAAGCTTGAAAAGAAAAATGAAGACCTGCCTACAGAAAGAACGTAGAGCAACTCGTAGATGGATCCAAGCCACGTGCTTGGTGAAGAATTTAGAAGCAAATGACATATTACCTAAGGGCACATCAGAACACATTTTACCAACTGCCTTAAGTAGTCTCCCTTTGGAGGATTTTAAGATTCTTGAAGGAAAGCAACAAGATAAAACACTGGCAGTTATCTAAATCTAACACAGATGAAGGGCACCTTCACTGAAGTTTAGCTTGCACAGAAGTTGATGTCCAATCTTCATTCTTTTTGGAGGCAAAGATATTTATGGTAATTATGCTGAAGTTGATTATTAATAAAGCTTTACTTGAAGTACCATTACTGTATAACTTATAAAGACTTGATTACAAAAATAATTTTATGAGGCTTTTATTTGAAAATTATTGGAAGTGCCTTACGTTAGAATTACATTCTGAAAATTTTTTGCTAGGAAATTATTATGTTTGTGAGATGTTTTGTATTTATTTAAGCTACTGTTAAAGAACAGCATGTAACACATAATATGTGTAATTTATATTAGAAAAAGAATCCTTGTCCAGTTCCAAAGTTGGAAAATTAAATTCTAAATAAGATGCTAAGTAGTAGCTAACCAACATTAAATAGTGATCTTAAAACTGTTGGGGTTTGGGCCGGAGCCGTGGCTCACTTGGTTAATCCTCTACCTGCAGCACCGGCATCCCATATGGGCACTGGGTTCTTGTCCATTTGCTCCTGTTCCAGTCCAGCTCTCTGCTGTGGCCCGGGAAGGCAGTGGGGGATGGCCCAAGTGCTTGGGCGCCTGCACCCATGTGGGAGATCTGGAAGAAGTACCTGGCTCCTGGCTTTGGATCAGCGTAGCTCCGGCTGTGGTGGCCATTTGGGGGGTGAACCAATAGAAGGAAGACCTTTCTCTCTTATCTCCCTCACTGTCTAACTCTACCTGTCAAATAAAAAAAAAACTGTAAAATATTTTGGAATGTGTAGTATCCTTGAATCATCCAAATTTGATAAGGCCTCAAGTACCTCAGACTGATAAAAATTCGTAGCTGACTGTATTGACTTTACAAACATGTAATATACATGTTTCAGGATCTAGCTTTACCTTAATTAAACAATAGAGAAACACATATGACTCTTCTTATAATAAAAATACTATATTTACATCTTCAAAATTGATGTATTAGTAAGCACATGTGTTAGCAAATTCTGTATTAGGTACTTCTGCTCCTATAAGTGTTGATACTAAAACTCAAGCTTTTTTTTTTCTTCTTTTTAACTTTCTAAATACATTCTGTATCTCAGAAATAACATATCTGCATAGTAGACTTTTTCCCCTCCCTTTTCATAAACGAGCAGCACTTACAGTATTACATCTAAATAATTCATAACCAAAAATAGGATCTATCTTAAAGATAAGCTTGCTTTTTATTTCCTTTTTCAGTAAGTCAAATAGAGCAACCGTAGTGCAATTTGGGAAATGAACTGTAGTTCTTATATGTTTTTGATAAAGCTGTGCAAATGCTGATTATTTTATAAAACAACTCTTTTGTGGTTGCCACATGACTATTAAAGTATTTGCCTTATTTCACCAAATATTTAATAAAAATTATTTCCTTCAAACAGCTTTGTTCCAATCATGTAAAAACGTATTAGTATATCATCAAGTTATTTAATCCTAATTCAAACTTGTGATGCTACCATATGAAAGCATATAGCTGATCATAAATTGGTATAAATCTTTCCTGTAAAGTAATGGCTACTTTGATAAAAAGAAACTTTGGTCAGCAATTTGGGTTCCCCTACCCCTTTTTAAAAATGAGATTAGCTAGGATCCTGGTAACAATCTTTTGACAATGTAAGCACTGTTTTAATAAGGAATGTCTCAAGCAAATGTAAAGGTAGGAAGAAATTTTCTTAGTTCTCATGAGGTATTTACAGCAAATATTTTCTGAAAATCCTTCCGTGGGTGGTATTTCTTAAGTTGTTTTATCTTTGTCATAAGTACTGGATGTAGTTCCTTGAAATTGTCATTATATGTATTTTAGTATGGTTTCAAATACCTTCTCAGTGGTATAAATTCATCAGCAAATACTAACTGCATCTGCTTTATAATATAGACAAAATTAAAGTTGGGGCAATAATCATTTTAGCATAAACTGTGTTTTCCAGGACACTCATGTGGCTTACCTCCTACTCCAAATACAAAACAAACACTATTTTATTAATGTAGCCCAATTCCCATTTATCATAATTATGTTGTGTAATATTTTTAAACTATTAAGGCATAAAATATGGAAGCTTTTGGAAAAATTACTCAGTTTTCATTATTATAGACACCATTGAATAAACTGCCACTCAGTTTTAGAACAAAAAAAAAGAAAAAAAAAGAAAGCACAAACAAACACAGAGGATGTAGGAAGACCTGGGATTGAGATAGCCACAACACACTAGATAGTTTTGTTGTCATCCAGGAGTATCTGGACAAATGGTTTGGTTTTGGGAGAAATTTAACCAAAAAATCAAAGTCAAAGTGGTTTTGGAGAAAAGCACAATCTTTCTGTTCAGCAAATGCATCCAATGTCATGTTTACAAAAACAAATATCATGTTTTCTCATGTTTCTGAAGCTTTCTGCCTAGAAACTCGAATGTGTGGAGGATTTGACTCCAGGTGGAACCAATTAGCGTTTGCGGGCAGAAAAAAAAAAGTGTTATGCTAAAATGCATTCAAAACCTTAAAGTCCATAGAGAATGTCCAGAAAACACAAACAAACACACAGGCTGTAGCAACATCTTGGAATGAGATAGCCACAACACAACAGATATTTCTGCTTTCATCCCGGGAAATCCTGAAAATTTGTTGTGGTTCTCTGGTGAAATTTAACCAAAAATTCACCGTGAAAGTGGATTTGGAGAAAAACACAATCTTTCTGTTGGGCAACTGCATCCAATGTCATGTTTACAAACACAAATATCATGTTTTCTCAGGTCTCTGAAGCTTTCTGCCTAGAAAACTCGAATGTGTGGAGGATTTGAATAGATGTGGTAACAATTAGAGTTTCCCAGCAGAAAACGAAAACTTACATGCTAAAATGCATTCAAAACAGTAAAGTCCGTAGAGAATGTACAGAAAACACAAACAAACACAGAGACTGTAGCGAGATCTCGGATTGAGATAGCCACAACATACCAGATATATCTGCTTTCATCCCGGAAAATCCTGACAAACTGTTGTGGAATTCGGGTGAAATTAAAAAAAAATAATAAATAAAACACAATCAAAGTTGTTTTGCAAAAAAGAAAAATCTTTCTTTTTGGCAAGTGGATCCAATGTCATGTTTACAAACACAAATATCATGTTTTCTCAGGTTTCTGAAGCTTTCTGCCTAGAAACTCGAATGTGTGGAGGATTTGACTCCATGCGGAACCAATTACCGTCTGTGAGCAGAAAATAAAAAGTGTTATGCTAAAATGCATTCAAAACCTTAAAGTCCATAGAGAATGTCCAGAAAACACAAACAAACACACAGGCTGTAGCAACAACTTGGAATGAGATAGCCACAACACAACAGATATTTCTGCTTTCATCCCGGGAAATCCTGAAAATTTGTTGTGGTTCTCTGGTGAAATTTAACCAAAAATTCACCGTGAAAGTGGATTTGGAGAAAAACACAATCTTTCTGTTGGGCAACTGCATCCAATGTCATGTTTACAAACACAAATATCATGTTTTCTCAGGTCTCTGAAGCTTTCTGCCTAGAAAACTCGAATGTGTGGAGGATTTGAATAGATGTGGTAACAATTAGAGTTTCCCAGCAGAAAACGAAAACTTACATGCTAAAATGCATTCAAAACCGTAAAGTCCGTAGAGAATGTACAGAAAACACAAACAAACACAGAGACTGTAGCGAGATCTCGGATTGAGATAGCCACAACATACCAGATATATCTGCTTTCATCCCGGAAAATCCTGACAAACTGTTGTGGAATTCGGGTGAAATTAAAAAAAAATAATAAATAAAACACAATCAAAGTTGTTTTGCAAAAAAGAAAAATCTTTCTTTTTGGCAAGTGGATCCAATGTCATGTTTACAAACACAAATATCATGTTTTCTCAGGTTTCTGAAGCTTTCTGCCTAGAAACTCGAATGTGTGGAGGATTTGACTCCATGCGGAACCAATTACCGTCTGTGAGCAGAAAATAAAAAGTGTTATGCTAAAATGCATTCAAAACCTTAAAGTCCATAGAGAATGTCCAGAAAACACAAACAAACACACAGGCTGTAGCAACAACTTGGAATGAGATAGCCACAACACAACAGATATTTCTGCTTTCATCCCGGGAAATCCTGAAAATTTGTTGTGGTTCTCTGGTGAAATTTAACCAAAAATTCACCGTGAAAGTGGATTTGGAGAAAAACACAATCTTTCTGTTGGGCAACTGCATCCAATGTCATGTTTACAAACACAAATATCATGTTTTCTCATGTTTCTGAGGCTTTCTGCCTAAAAAACTCGAATGTGTGGAGGATTTGACTCCAGGTGGAACCAATTACCGTCTGTGAGCAGAAAATAAAAAGTGTCATGCTAAAATGCATTCAAAACCGTAAAGTCTGTAGAGAATGTCCAGAAAACACAAGCAAACACAGAGGCTGTAGCAAGATCTGGGATTGAGATAGCCACAACACACCTGATATTTCTGCGTACATCCCAGCATATCCTGACACATTGTTGTGCAATTCAGGTAAAATTTAACCAAAAAATCACGGTCAAAGTGGTTTTGGAGAAAAGCACAATCTTTCTGTTCGGCAAATGCATCCCATGTCATGTTTACAAACACAAATATCATATTTTCTCGGGTTTCTGAAGCTCGCTGCCTAGGAAACTCGAATGTGTGGAGAATTTGACTCCATGTGGAACCAATTAGCGTTTGCCAGCAGAAAACAAAAGTGTCATGCTAAAATACAATAAAAATTTTAAGGTCCCGCGAAAATGTCTAGAAAACACAAACAAACGCAGAGGCTGTAGTAAGATCTGGGATTGAGATAGCTACAACACACCAGATATTTCTGCTTTCATCCAGTAGTATC